AACACCTGAGGATTACAAAGCCAACACTTCTACTTTTAAAAAAAAAAAAAAAAGTTTTGTTTTGCTTTTTTTTTTTTAATAACTGTAGTCAGGGCAAGAAAAGGCAAACAGTATCTTTATTGTGTGTAGTTCTAACAAACATTCACTGTGTGCACATTCCAGCAGAAAGAGACAAAGATCTTTGTTCAAAATATGCTGAAATAAAATAGGTAAACAAATGCCATTTTTGACTACACAAAAGGAATGTTAATATCACTTGTCCACAGTGGAGAGTGAAGTAAAAAGAAAGGAAGTTAAATAACGTTCTGTCCAAATAGCAAGTCCAATATATAGGTACGGGTAAAGGGCAGCTTCTACAGCTCATTGAGTGAGATGCTGGAAGAGGGTGGGTCACTTGACAAGTACCTCTCTGCTTCTTGGAAACTCCCTCTGAGGTCACCCCCACAAATTCCAAACTGGGCTCTTTCAGGGCACAACAGCCAAATGTGACTAAACTTCCTACTACTTTTGTGATATTTGGCAATGGAATGAGATGGCTTTTTTTAAAGATCAATTTCTTGTTGAAACATGTCTGAATCCATTTCTCCTGGGAAAGGAAGCAACAAACATTAATATTCTGCATTTCAATCTCCTAAAATGGAATTTAATCAAATAGCTATCACTTGAGGTTTCAAACATGAGATAACATAAGTAATGATATATCTGACCTGAAAGCATTTTTCACCGCTCCACAACGCAACTAAATGTGTATAAACTCAACAGTGCCCTTATTTCACAACAGATGCATTTATGACTGCTAAAAGAATTTTATAGGCTCAAATTATAGGTTCCAGAGGACTTCTGTTTCTGCCGAAGCAGTCCCATAAGTAGCTAAATACAATATAAACTCTGTCCCTACTACTTTCTAGTATTTACAAATGTAGAAACCATTTGCAAACCAAAAGCATTTCTTAAAGAGACAGGGGCCAAGGAGTTTTAGAAACCCAGCATTTATACCCCTATCTTGTTGGCATGTTTTCCCTCACCTTCTCCTGTGGTCGGTCACCAGACATTATGTGTACAATCTGAAGTGCAGCAGCAGCAGCTAGTCTTCCTCAGCAATAAATAAGTAAATGCCCTAGAGACCAGCTCCAGGGGCCGCGGTCAGGCAACAGGGACTGACTGCAACTTGCTCTCCAGAGAGGTTTTCTGACCTACTGATGTAGAGGCTGTTGCGAGAAATTAAGTCTACCTCTTAAAACCAAAGTCCTTTCTGATGGGATCTGGCTAACATACTGTATTCATTTGTTTAGAAAAACCTCTACAAACTCTCACACAAGCTCCACCTTTCACCTGGCTGTTTATGTAAGCAACGGAACTACTATGAATGGACCCTAAAGTGGTTTTTAATAATATAAAGTGGCATCACATTAGCAGTAGTTCAAAAGAAATCCAGTGGACTAGAACTATTTCATGGGTGGTAGAAACAAAGTATGAAAATCTTTCCCGCTGGCTGAGTTAGAGCAAGTCAAGATATAAATGGGAAAAGACAACCGATGCAAGGTAGAAAACATACCTTTGCATTGTTGTTTACTCTAAAAATACCAAAAACACCGATTTTACATAAGACCTTCATTCTTTAATGTTTCTTCAAGCCAGATGAGTTTCATTCAATACTGGAGACTGCCAACATAATGATCCGAATTATCTCCTGGCTTAGTTTTAGCTTGAATGTTCCTTTTCCAGCTTCTCAATGCTTCTTTGTTTTTACCTGCCTCACATCATCACACAACTTAACTACTATAGAAATTATATACCAATTCTTATTCAAGGCAACTCTTCTTTGCCTTCAAGTGGAGGAGCACCAAGCTTATGTTACTTAATAACCAAAGATTTGTGTCAATAATTTGTCTTTAAGTCGCATCATATAATGCATACAAAACATTTTCTAAAGATAAGTTTGTCTATGCTCATATCTGATATATATAAAAAAAGACTAAAATTCTCTTAAAATTACTCCATAATGTCATATCCATGTGTACAAGTATAAAGTTAATATCATTTTGATGAATCTTGAATTCATTCAACTGCTAAGTCACAGGACACAAGACCTGAGTTGAACTTTTTCTTAACTACTTTGCATGGGTAGATACTGGTATGCTGGGTAGTTTCCTGTCTTGTCAAGTCCCTGGCCAGCCAGAAGTGGGAGGAGAAACCAGAGTAACTGTGGTCCCTTAAACCAAGCTACTCCCTCTACATGACAATGGAGACAGGCCTGTCATCCTCAAAGGATGGGGAAAAAAACACTACAAAGTGTTGTTGGCAGTAAACCATCCATGTGCTGTGTCTTCAGGAGTTTCCACAGGAAAAAAGTCAAAGTATGCCAGGGAAATTCATCAACCTATTCCTCAATGAAACACTCATTCAAGAAAAAAACTCTCTCTCTTTATTCTTAATGGAAAAATAGAATAAAACCACAAATTGGAGCCAGAGGATGAAATAGAGGTGAAATGGAAAACGCTCTCATCACAATCTCCCGCTTTCAAATGCCTTTTACTATGGGAGTTACTTTACAGGGGCAAAACAAGATAAAAACCTATATCTCGGATCAATTGCGAGCCTCTTGTAAAGAGGGGAATAAAAATTTTGCTAATCACTAAACAGAAAGGCATCAAAATGTTCTGGCAAAGCTCTATAGAAATAATTATAGACATTATTTTACCAATAAAAGATGGTGGTGGGTGGGGAGAAAAAGATGACTAGAAACTGGGGTGAAAGAGAAGGCTAGCATCTTTGGTGTGCTTTCTAAAGTTATATTTTTCAAAGGAAAAATGACTGAATTTACCCTGACATCTCAATTCTTCATCTCTTCTTTTTCCCATGAAATAAATAGGAAGCACAGCTTTGTCTAATACAAGCTTGGGAATAATAAAACAGCCTGGTCTTAGTGGGAGGCAAAAGCTACCTGCTACTCCAGCTGGGCTGGCAGAACAGCCTTTTTGCAGTCTTAACAAATAGAAACAAGGAGGATGATCAATTGGCAGCTGTGTCTTAAATTATAGGTGAGCAGCTGAATGAATAAAACCCCTTATTTAAAATAACCGAATTAAGTCGGAATTTTATATTTGTTTAAAAGAAACACGGAATAAGAAAAGCTTCAAAACCAGAGTGTGCTACCCTGTTAAGAATATCTACTGTGCACGTATAGACTGAAAAGCATTTTTTGCCTAAGAGCAATGCACCAGGACATACAGACTGCAATTATAAAAGAAAGTTAGAAAATGTGAAGGTACTGAGGAAAGCAGGGGAGAAAGGGAAAGCTGGCAAGAACCATGAAGAATGAGAAGGTGGCTTTTGGGAGTAAAGCTCGAGAGATGAAGGACAGCGCTCCTGATCTGGGTGGGTGTCTGGCCAACCATCTGGGCTCCCAGGGGTAAGAATACAATTGGCAGGATTCTAAAAGAGGGCACCATTGCAGCCTCCAAACAAGTCTCTAGTTTTCACTCCAAGTGGTTACTCTCCAGACTTCACCATGGTCTCCTCAGGATGATTTGCTTTCCGACATGTAATAACGATACAGGAAACCTATGAGAACAGCGCCTATGATGGGGAAAATCCAGTATGACCAGCAACTAGAAGTGGGGGGGGAAAAGCAACAAAGTCATGAACATTTTATACTAAACATCTGCCATCCTCCAACAGTCACATTTTAACATTTTTATAGACAAAAAGGTTTGATTTGCTTTATGAAATTAAACTGCTTTTATCACATTGTAGTTGCAAAAAATTATCTTGACTGAAATGGTAATAGTAAACAATATTTTTAAAATTAAAAACAACTATTGAATGATATACATACATGTTCATGTTTTTTAACACATAACATGGGTTCATTCTGTATTGTAGGTAGTCTGTTTTTTCTTTTCACTTTATTTTTCATATATTATAAATTAAAATTTTAAACAGAAAACACACAGCTAACATGCACATAAAAAATTTAATCCTCACAACAACTCTATGTAATAGGTACCACTTTTATTATTCTCATGTTATACATAGGAAATACAGGTCTTGTATGTGGAACTATAAAGTTAAGTCAATCAGGTAGTCTGATTCCAAAACCACTCTCTATCTCAAGTTAAGTATACACAAAGAAAACACATCAATAGTTTTACTAAAGTAAACAGTAGCTGGCAAGGAAAGATTTTCCTTTGTAGTTTCTGGACAGTAATCACTCTCTTTAAATAAAACAATAATTCTTCTTTAATAGAGCTTATTAGCACGACTAGATTTAAGGTGTAATTCCTCAGCGATCCAAATGACCTGGCTGCCCCTCATCTTAAGACATTAAAAGGTTTTAAAGCTAAGTGGTTCAAGAATAAAAATTATCCTCTTTGCCTAAACATGCCTAACATTTTTATACTTTTATGTATGATAGAAAGCTGCTGTGGACAAGTTTAGGGTATCAGCTAGGTAGCTTTGTTTAAAAAACAAGCAAGTTGGCAGGTAAACAGCAATATGACACAGGGAACTTTGAAATAGTCTCCCCCACCCCCACCCCGAGAGTAATGAATTCAGTTATCTTGGAGAGCAACCACAAAAGACAAAGAAGTTAAAAGCAGGATCCTTGAGAAAACAATGAATAAGATAAATTCTTCAGTACAAAAGGCTGAGAATGATTGACCATCGATCCTCATAAAATCTTTCACAACACTTAACCTGCCCCCTGAGGACAGAACCAGAGGAAATGCATTTATACTGCTCCAAAGGAAATTTAAATTCAACAATAACTTCCTGGCCCAAAGACTATCTGCTTGGAGACTCATTCAGGTTATTGCATGCAAGTTGTGATTCATTTACTTTTATTGTGTTGTAGTATTCCACTGTATGACTATACCAAAATGAATTCATTCACTTTATTAATTGGGTCACTTCCCATACTTAAACATCTATGCATTTAAACATCTATGCATTTAAACATTTATGCATACAGAACTGGGGAACAGGCTAGAGGTGCAGGGGTGGTGAGAGGATTCACCAGAGACAGAGTAGGGAACAGAACAGGCAGACTGAGAACTGCACTGCTGAAGGGAGCAGCAAGCGAGACAGGAAAGGTCTGCTATGCCATATGGGTCACTCCCCTTGGCCAGGAATCAAACTCAGACTGAAGAGGCTGTAGCTACCTTTGTAAGTGCTGGAAGTCTGCACTTTTAAAATGCTATGTCTATCACCGTAAATGAAGCTGTGATACTTTTGCAGAAAAAATACAGATTTTTCTCTTAATTATATGGGCTATCAGAAAGATAAAACAGCTATATATATATTCTCTACAAAGACTGTTTTCAACTCACAGACTCCACAGCAATTTCAAGTAGAAACATTTTTTAAAGAGTGGCAATGTATAACTTTTAAAGCTAATGCTACTATATTAATATCACTGCAAGGGAATTATATTGCAAGTAAACCTCTGGGAAAACACAGATTCCTAATATGACTGTAGTAAATATTTTTTCTTCTGTGAAGAAGTAATAATAGCACCTATTTTAAAGAATAGTTGTGAGGATTAAATGAGATTAAATTTTAAGTGGAAGTGGCAAGCTGGGTTGAATTATGGAGTCTAGGGACTTGACTTACTCATAGTTACAAATTGTGAATACCTGTCTCTGTGATTACAATATATGCCACAAAAGTTTATTAAAATTACTCAAGATAAAATTGTTGGAGATTATTCAAAATGGTTGAAATAAAAAATAAATTTTGATAATGCTAAGGACCTATTAAATTAGCAATAAATTTTTAGCAATAATTTTGACCACACACACACAAATATTTAAGTTATAGGATATATATGTAAAATATATATAGGAGAAACTTGTCAGACATTAAGTTGTACATTAACAAAGTCCACTAGAGGGATACCAACCTTTTGCACTCGTTACTTTTTGAAGGCTCCTGAAGATGATGCATATTAAAAAATAACAAACAAAAAGAAAGAAAATTAACAAAGAGTATATAAATCTTCGTGAATGTCTATGAGAACTCTGTAGCTTGTAAAAGAACTTCCATCTTTCATGCATTTTGATGTTTGCAAATCTATAGGCAGTACATTGACTGGGAGTTAAGTTTCTGGCCACAAAAAGAGCCGCTAATGAAAGCACACAGAAATGACATAAACTTTTCTCAGATGTAAAAAAAATGTTACTAAAGCAAACTATATTAAAATAAGCTGATTTGCAGTCACAATGATATGACTGGTTTAAGTGGGCTTGCCACTGGCAGTAACTAAGAGTGTAAAAAGGATAAAAAAATTAAAATCGTAACATACAGATCAACTGTGATATGCTCTAAAATAGCATAGGTGACTGCTTTGTGGAAAACAGAAATGAACTGGGTTACTCTCTGAAATCACAGTAATTAAGATTAGAGACCTTAGGGCATTCTTTTAATGAAAAGGACAAAAAGAGTAAAGGGAAATAACAAACCAAACTTAAAAATAAAATTCTGGTGATAAAAAGTAATGAAATAAAGATATATGCCACAACATAGATGAACCTTGAAAATATTATGCTAAGTAAAATAAGTCAGATACAAAAGAGGACATATAAGTTTTGAAACAGTCAAAATGGGTAAACCTATAGAAGCAGAAAGTTAGATGAATGATCTCCAAGCACTGGGGGGGAAAGAGCAAAATTAATAGCTACTGTAATTGCACAGCTCTATGTATAGTAAAAACGCTTGATTTAAAAATCATATACAGGTAAACTGGATGATATGTGAATTATATCTTAAAAACAATTTTTTATCCAATTTAAGAAAATGTCAAATGAAGTTATTCATTCCATTAATAAGTAATAAACTACATAAAACAAAAAAATCTGCTAATTTACTGCCAGAGGACAACTGACCCATAAGCACAAGTTATTTATTTTTTTAAATTTTATTTATTTAGTTTAAATAATATAAGTTTTTTACATCATTTTGTATTTTTTTTTCATCTCAATTGTAATTCCTGTGGGTTTCCCATCACCGAGTCACCCATGTGCCATCACCATAGTCCCGTGCACTTCCTCCCCACCCCCCCACCCCCATTTTGGATCCCACTCCAACCCCACAAAATGTCTCTGGTATATGGCTGTTCATTATTCTTATTATTTTCTCGCCTGGTTCTTTATACTCCTGCTATGAGCGAAACCATCTGGTATTTTTCTTTCTCTTTCTGGCTTATCTCACTAAGCATGATCTTTTCCAGCTCCATCCAAGCTGCTGCAAAAGACATGTGTTTCTGTTTTTGGTTGCTGAGTAATATTCCATTGTATATATGTACCACTTCTTTTTTATCCAGTCATCTACTTTTGGGCATTTGGGCTGCTTCCATGTTTTTCCAATTGTAAATAAAGCAGCAATAAACATGGGGGTGCAGGTATCTTTTTCAATCAGTGTTTTTGTGTCTTTTGGGTAGATACCTAGGAGTGGGAATGCTGGGTCACAGGGAAGCTCCATGTTAAGCAGTTTGAGGAACCTCCTTACAGTTTTCCATAGTGGTTGTACTAGTTTGCATTCCCACCAGCAGTGCAGGAGAGTTCCTTTTTCTCTACATCCTCACCAACATTTGTTGTTGCTAGTCGTTTGAAGATGTGCCATTCTCACTGTATCTCATTGTGGTTTTAATTTGCATCTCCCTTATTACAAGAGATGTTGAATACTTTTTCATATGCTTGTTGGCCATCTGCATTTCCTCTTTGGAGAAGTGTCTTTTTAGCTCTTCTACCTACTTTTTGATGGGGTTGTTTACTTCATTTTTGTTGAGTTTCATCAGTTCTCTCTATATTTTTGTGATCAGTCCTTTATCACTGCTTTTGTGTGAGAAAATTTTTCCCAATTAGTGGGCTGTCTGTTTTTTTGTAATGTCTCTTTTGCTGTACAGAAGCTCTTTAACTTGATGTAGTCCCATCTATTTATCCTTGCCTTCACTATTATGGCACTGGGTGCTCTATCTTTAAAGATGTCGTTGAAGTGTATGTCATGTAGTGTTTGACCCATCTTTGCTTCTTTATGTCTAGGTCTTTAATCTACTTTGAGTTGATTTTTGTGAATGGAGTGAGGCAGTGATCTAGTTTCATTTTTTTGCAGGTAGCTAGTACAGGTTATTAATGCCAAAAAATATCATCTCTGTCAATATGTAGAAGTACACCAGGCTGTGAGCACAGGTAATGCTGTTAAATCACAATTTTCAGTAATATCCAAGAATTTCCAGAAACCCTACACATAACTGGCCTAGATACTTTAAAGCAGACCATGAATGAGATCTAATTTCATTTATCCAAAATACTGTCATGCAAAATGAATACATGCCCCAAATCTGAAAGAAATTAGTCTATAGGCAAGTAAAGTTTATTAAAAAAATTTTTTTATTTATTTATGCGTACAGGCCAGAGGTGCAGGGGCAGTGAGAGGATTTACCAGAGACAGAGTGGGGAGCAGAACAGGCAGACTGAGGAAGTTCACTGCTGAAGGGAGCAGTGGATGAGACAGGAGAGGTCTGCCATGTCATGTGGGTCATATCCCTGGTAGGGGATCAAACCTGTGCTGAGGTGGTTGTGGCTAGCTACATGATGCTGTGCTTTAACCCACTGCACCATCATGGAAAGCCCGGCAAGTAAAATTTTTAATAAAAGGTTATAGATAGACTGTATTAATATCTACTAAACTTCTTTAAGATCTTATTGTTATTGTTACCTGGGTCATTTCTTCCAGAATAGCATGAATCAGGCTAATTAAAAAGTGTTACAGGTCAATCTTTGAGAAATACAACAAATATTTTATAGATTGGGAAGGAACAGTGGTAGTAACAGTATAGATGAACTTCACTCATAATGTTGCTTCATAAAGTATTCCACTGTAGTATTCAAGAAATAACTAAATTCCATCAAGAAAATACATATGGTCTTTCATTCTTCACCCATCTACAATTTTGGGTATGGAAAGTAGTCATTGCAATACTGTATGATTTTAGCTACAAGAAAGCAGACCACATCCAGAGGTCTTCCAGTAAGCCTTACCAAGTAATTAAATGCATGTTTCTTTATTCTCCAAGGAGTCTGGAATATTACTTTCAAACAGAAAAATTGCTGTAAATCTACTCTGATTTAAGTTCAAGTTAACTATTTAAACACAATGGTTTTTAAAGTTTATTCAATTTTTAATTCCCCATAAAGTAAATACATAAAAATATAGTATTTTTATAAAGCTGCTCATAACTAAAGTTACATCTAATATATTCAAACACAACTTCCTGCCTTGTAAAAGTTAAAAGTACAGATGAGATATATCTGAATTCTAAAGTTATATTCAGTTAATTAATTATAAAGTTATATTCAGCACAATATTTTGAGCCACAAGCATTTTAGCAAAACCTTGAAGAGTAGTAGCCTTCTACAATTCAAAAGGACACCTTCACCCCCATGTTTACTGCGACACTATTTACAATAGGGAAAACATAGAATCCACACAAATGCCCCAAAATAGATGACTGGATTAAAAAGATGTGGTACATATACACAATGGAATATTACTCAGCAATCAAAAAAGATAAGATCATGCCTTTTGAAGCAACATGGATGAAGCCGGAAGGGATCATGCTTAGTGAAATAAGCCAGAAAGAAAAAGGAAAATACTGGATGGTTTCATTCATAGCAGGAGCATAAGGGATCGGGGGGAAAAAAGAGAGAGAGAAGCAAATGTAATAAAGTAAAAATGTGAACAAGGAACAACTATAAACCAGAGACATGGTATGGGGTGAAAAGGGAATGGGGGGCCCTCCCTGGTGGCGCAGCGGGTTAAAGCACTGCACTGAGAAGCTAAAGCCACTTCCTCATGAGTTCGATTCCCACCTGCCCCGGAGGAGTCCACATGGCGTGGCAGACCTCTCCTGACCCGCCCGCTGCTCCCCTCAGCAGTGTACTTCGTCGATCTGCCTGTTCTGCTCCCCACTCTGTCTCTGGTGAATCCTCTCGCCCTCCGCGTCTCTGGCCTGTACCCCAGTTCTGTATGAATAAATAAATAAATCTTTAAAAAAAAAATTTAAAAAAAGAAAAGGGAATGGGATAAAAACTGGGGTGGAAAAGGGAACAGGACTACAGTGATGGCAAACAGGTGAATCAGTGCTGGGAAGCCCACAGGGACTACAACTGAGATGGAAAAATGTACAAAATGAAGAATGATGTAAAAAATAAATTATAAAACAGAAAGTATAGCCTTCTAAAGGTCAGACAGGAAACACCATTCCTCCTGTCTAGGAAGATTGAAAGAACACTATCACTTCTAGCTTTTCCTATCTTTTTTTTTTTTCCAAAAGATTTATTTATTTATGTATGCAAAAGTGGGGTATAGGCCAGAGGTATGGGGGGTGAGAGGATTCACCAGAGACAGAGTGGGAAGCAGAACAGGCAGACTGACGAAGCACACTGCTGAGGGGAGCAGCAGGCGGGTCAGGAGAGCTCTGCCATGCCATGTGTATCACTTCCCTGGCCAGGGATTGAACTTGTGCAGCAGTGGCTGTGATAGCTTCATAGTGCCATAGCTTCAACACGTTGTGCCACCAGGGAGGCCCAGCTTTTCCTATCTTATGCCAAGTATATAAAGATAATCTGAATAGGCACTGTACCATAAGTCCTAACCCATTCCAATATGTTTAAAAGAAGACAAAAGAAATATAATTGCAAAACATGAACGATTTGTGTGTAGACTAGAAAGAGGAGGTATTCCTCTATGAACCCTATTTATGAGAAACACAGGAGAACTAATGTCAAAAGAATAGTGTACTTTGTACCAGGATAAACACAGGAAACATTGTGCAGAATTATGATTGTGGTTTTTTTAACTATATAGATAGTGAAATCTTAAGTGTACCTTCACCAAAGATAGTTTCTATTTAGACTTGAAGATTTACATAA